CTCCCCTGGGGCTCTGCAGGCTCCTTCCCAAATGGAACCCAACTGGGGGGAAAAACTAACCCCCAGTTTTTTCCCCCTCCGAGTTCCCCTCTGCCCCCCATGGCTTTGCAGAGGTACCAGCATCACCCACACTCCGGCCCAGGGAACGTCTGTGCGGATAAAGGAGAGATACAAAGAGGAAAAAGGTCCTGCAGGTTGTCTGCAGATGTGAAGGACAGGTAGAAGAGTGCTCAACTCGAGCAATTGATGGTTTGTTTGGTTTTGCCCTCTTTGGTACTTTGCCTAACTGGGAATGTGTGGGTTTCCGCTGAGGGCCCTCCTGCGCTCCAGCCCTTGGGCAGAACTGCTTTCTGCCATAGAGTGAAAGGGGAGAGTGCTTTTCTGGCTGCAAGAAAATGGTTTGGGGTGCCTGGAGAAGTTGATGGCTTCTTTCTGCTGTCACATGCTTGCTCCCACCCTCGCTGAGGCCGTAGTTTGGCATTTTTCTCGTGTCTAGCAGCTGCTGTCCCTCTGTTCCTCCCCTTTCCCCATGTTTGTGTTTGTGATGCCAAGTGGTGACCAAGATTGAGGATGAGGTCCTTATTAAAAAAAAAAAAATTTTTAAAAATCCCTTTTTCTTTTCCTGGGTTATCTTTCAGCTGGCAGATTGGGTTTAGTGTGCAGCACCACAGGGTCTTAGTCCTCAAAAAGCCCTTCTGCAGGTGGCTCTATCTGCCTCATGTATCCCCACTTTTGGCCAGCTCACTAGGCATAGCACTGAAAATTTTTAAAGAGAAGAAAAAACATGACTGAAGGGCAACTAAATAATAATAATAAAAAGATTCCTAACATTAGCACCTTGGTTTTACAGACTGCAGTGGCATTGATCCCTGTGTGACTGCCACGCAACGTGCTCTTTGCACCAGCATCTCATGTTAAATAAGAAAACTTCACACCCCCTGCAACAGCAGTGAGCGTCCTCCGAGGGATGTGTGGAAGTTCCTGAAGATCGAAAAGCAGGTGGGAAGAGAGAACCAAAGAAACCCCCGACAGACAATATTGTGTTTCTTCAGAGCTCGAGATATTTTTGAAGGTGTGTGCCAAGTGTCCACTTTATGAATTGCCTCTGGGACAGGGAAGGTTATGGGGAGTGGAGCAAATTGCTAACGAACATGGGCAAAACGGCATTTCTCCTGGAAGAGATGGTAACTGCGGGGGGAGAACCTGCTCTGTTGTGGTGCTCAGGAGAGGGGAATCGTGCTACGTAGGTGCCAAAAAGCTCGTTGAGAGTGTCTGCTCTCTCCTGCTGCTGGTTTAGCCCTGCTCACAGTGCCTGCCAAAGCAAACCTAGCAGCAGAGAAATTAAATATGCATTAACTGAGCTAAGGCTTATGGATTTGTCGAGGTTTGCCCGAATTCAGCCAGCTGGCTGCATAGGCGATGAGCGCCAAAACGAGCGCTGGGCGGGCAGGCGTTTGACTGCAGAGAGTCGTTCCTCTCCGCGTCCGAGATGTCCCCTCTCTGTACTGATGTGCGTGGAGATGGGAGACGGCGGGGGTCCCCTGCAGCCCGCCGGCCTCCTGCCCAAGGGTGCTGCGGGGTTAGCAGAGGTTAGGCTGGAGAGGACAGCAGAGACGGGGCATCCCGGGCAGGCAGGACCAGCTCCACCCTGCTTTTCTCCGTTGCTTTGCTCTCTCGTGATGCTGAGTGTTAGAAATGTGTGCGCTGTCTTTTTCCTTCCCCAAGACGGACAGCACTGGTGAGCCGCCCTGACTCACAGCTCTCCGGAGATGCTGAGCGTAGCGGCGTTTGAGCTCAACGCCGTGAGTTGAAGGAAGCTGTGTTGCAACGCTATTGGGAACCCACCTTAGATTTCGGAGTTTGATTTTTAAACACGAAGCACATCACTCGTGCTGGTTTTAAGCCAAGTCATAGTAAACCCAGTGCAAATGAGCTAAGCCGATGTGCTGCAGGTGTGCCCATAGCCAAGGCGGGTACTGTTCTGGTGGAGAAACTTCAATATTGCACTGCCAGAACACAGGTAGAGTCTGTCTCTGCAATAGCAGTGACCAAAGTTGGGTTATTTATCTCATGTAGATTTGAGGACCACGGTTCAGTTCCGCACTATTTAAAAAAAAAATAAAAAAATCAATCCTTTAAGGAAGAAAAATATCCTAACATCCTTATTGAAATCTTGCTGTAGAGACAGAAGCAGGAATGCTGAATTCCCAGGAAAAAGTCCCCAAGATGTCCCCTGTACAGCTGCGGTGGTGGAAGCTGTAGTACTGCAGACAGGTTTCAGGCGTTTTACCAGCATGCAAGACTGTGTTATAGCTGTTTAACGTATGGAGGATTTTAGTTCTCTGCTTGTCAGTTCAACGCTTCTATAAGCACGAAAATTTTCTCTCCCTCTTGCTACAAAATCTGCTTCTTTGCATATTAAAAAGGGCATATGGGAAGTAACATGAAAAACTCAGACAAGTACCGCTCGGATACAAACAATATGTGACCATAATTACTAGGTTGTCTTCTGCTAAAAATAACATTGCATGTGTACTTAATTCATTGTTAATTTGCACAGACCTTTTTTTTTTGTTCATTTGTTCCCCTCGCCAAATGTCACTTCTTGGCGGTGGTGGGGGGAAAACTGACTTCTCCCTGTTGAAGCAATTGGGCTTCTGTGAGAAGAGTACAAAAGGGGGGAAAAAAACCTGTGCTCCCTGTGGAAGCTGCGTTCGCACGAGCAGGGAGCGAACAGCTTTGAGTCCTTGGAACTCACAGGGCTGTGGAGTTGAAATTTTATTAAAAAAAAAAAAAAGCAGACTTTTTCCTCGCTGTTAATGGATCACTCATTTTTTTTTTTTTTCCCCTTTCTCTAATCAGAAGAGCCCACCCCGGAGGGGCAGCACCCCCCCAAGCCCCCTCCTCGGCCCTCCTCCCAGTATCCCCCCGTTCCCTCCACTGGCGGGGAGTGGTTTTCCCCTTCCCTCCCCAGCTCTCATAGGCCGGAGCGCCTTGTGGGCCGGCTCGCCGCTTCCCTTCGCCTTGCGGGGAGGCCCGGGCTGGATGCTGGAAGCCGGGGAGCGGCGGGGCCGGGCTGCGGGGCGGCTCCTCCGGCTGCGGGGACGCCGCTTCTTCGGCCGGGAGAGGGGCTTCGCCGGCTCGGACGGCACCATGAGGCGGCCCCTTCCAGCGGGGCAGGAGGTTGGTGCGGGAGGAGCCGGGGTTGCCGGTCGCTTGCGGCGTGTGTGGGGGGGGGGTTTTGGGCGGGCTTCTGAGGAGAAAAAAGGCGGTTTCTCGAGCGCGGGGCGCTGGCGTTCGAGGGAATTCCCTGCTCGGGCTCTTTGGCAAGGCCCTGCCGCCCAGCCTCGGCGACGGGAGGTGTTTATCGGCCCTCTGGGACGGTCTTGGGGTGACTTAACTAATTTTTCGTGCTTTGAAAAGGGAGGGGGGGGGATCCAGCGAGGCCACTGGGGCTCTGCGTCCGGGAGCCGGGAGGTGGTAGAACTTCAGGGTTTTCTGAGGTGTATTTGGCTGGCGTGTGGCTCCAGAGCTGGTGAAATTGTGTCTCGGCCCCGTCCCTTCCAGCAGCCGCCGTTTCGGGACAAACCCGAAGAGTTTCCCGGCACGCCGGCTGACAACAACCTGTTCTGCCAAGCTGCCGGCTCGATTTCTGGCAATGAAAGCCTTTTTCTGCCTGTCGCTGGTTTTTTTTTTTTTTCCTTGACTTGGCACGATGCTCTTCCCTGGGACAGGAGGTTGGAAATCTTCAGCCCCAATGTGCCTCGGATCTGGCCCGGGCAACGATTCAAGCCGGTGCAAGCTCCGTTGAGTTTGGGAGCGTTTCGGTCAGGGCTGACACGGGCTCTCTGTACACAGCAGGACAATACCCATTCCGTGCCCAGGTCTACGCGGTCTCCAAATCCGTCCTTGAAATAAATCTGCGCGATGCCGCTGAAGTCGTTAGAGTTACGTGGCTCTCTGGGGGACGAACGCCGATAGTTTAATTGGGTGGACGAAGCTCTGTTAGTCTGGCATTCGGCTGAAGATTGTAAGTAATGGGATGTCACGGCAAGGCTGCCGCGTCCGTAGCCGCTGGGACAAATGCTCTGGTTGTCTACGGCGGTTGTGTTTCACAGCTGCCCCTGTTTGCAGCTCAGGGGGTGGGAGCGCTTGTTTCGAGTGTCTTTAATCACTCAAGAATTCATGTTTTCCTTCCCGTCCCGTCACTGGCATTCGATGGCGTGAGCTCATGCTGGAGGCTCGCAGGTAACCAGGGAACTCAATTTCTGACCGCCTCTTCTCATCGTGCTCCCAGGAGCGTTAGCTCTGTGGCTTGGGTCTCACAGCCAAATCCTGCCCAGCTTTGCCAGAAGTTGGAAAGCTCCGAGTTTAAGCCCTGGGCTACCCTTCCTTTTCAGCTTGTCATCCGTCTGCGCTGTATTTACCGTGAATATTCAGAAAGCCCTTTCCTTCAGGGTCAGTGCTACAGTGGGATGCTGAGCACTGCCCAAGGATGCTGGGATCCCTGATCCCTGCTCAGGGAATGGGCGCTGAGCACCAGTGTGGGATGCTGGCCGCCAGCCCCCCTTGTGTGACTACCCTGCCCTCACCTGCGGCTGAAAGGGGCTCTTTCTCCCATCCTTTTGCTGTGAGATACCACCGAACCTGTAAAATCAGGGGGTTTTTGCAGTGGGAAAGCGTGACTGACCTTCCCCAGGGCTGAGGGTGCAGCATGTGGGAGAGCCGCGGTGCCTGCACCGCCACGGCATCCCCATCGCCCGTCTTTGCGCAGGATTTAGCTGGCCGGGGAGGCTGGGCCCCAGGCTTGGTCCCAGCTTCCCGGGGGAGAGGGTCGAGGTTTCTCAAAACAGGCTGGGGGGAAAAAAAAAAACCCCAGATCCCTCTGAAAAGACCTATTCAAATTTACAGAGATTCTTGTAGGCTGTGGTTCAGCTGATTAAATGGAAGTTTATTGAGAGGTACATCTGTTTAATTCTTTTTTTTTTTCCTCTTTTGCCAAGATTTAACTTTCCTACTTGGAGAAGATCCTAGGGTCTCAGCCTCACTTAAATACCCATTTGCACATTTAATTTTGTCCAGGTACATAACGTCCTCCTTTTCAGGATTATTGAAAATTAGTGCTGAGGCTCTGGTCTTACTGGAAAAAATAAAGTGACTTCTCCTGAGGGCCGCGATGCTCCTTTTATTTTGAGAGGTTTGAACTCCTGCCACAAATAATCCTGTTGCTGGCAGGTGTCTCCTGAGCTCTCGCAGCTGAGGAAGAGTTTGCTGGGTTGAGAACTGCAGCTTCTTTAAACTGCTGAAGATACTGTTTTACATATATATATATATATATATATGAAAAATAATATAATAAGTGCGAGGTAGGTGATCTTTGCTGGTGAAATCATTCTTTCATGAAGCAGGCTGAAATCCCGTACCTCACCTAGAAATCTTTACTGCTTTTCTTAATAGTAGCAAAGTGTAAAGGCTTGTGTCAACTTGATGTTGTTATCCCCTGTGATTTATGAAGTGCTCTTTGGACTGCAGGTGTGTCTGCAGTGAAGGAAAGACCCTGTGTTTTACAGTGGGTCTGCTCTCTAGCAGTGATTTGAGGAATCTCTTCCTTGATACACCCTGCAAAGAAGTGCAGTTGTGTCTCCTCTATCTGTTAGTTATGAACTGAACTTGGGTTTTTACACTTATTTCTTCTCTGGTAATTGATTTAAAGCAAGTTAGCAAATCTTCAGGGAAAGAAGCGTCAGGGGAATGCACTTAACTGCCAGTGTTGCCACAAATTTTATTCCCTTGAAATGAAATCGGAAAGAAGATGTCAGTTATTAATGTTCCTACAGGCTTCTAGATTTATCTTCTCTATCTCTACCTAATGAACACACCAAAGGAGAAACTCAGGCTCTGAAATAACCAGAGCCCCAGAGCTCTGCAGCAAGCCATCACGCTCCATTATGAGAAGCACCCTCCTGTTGCCTTTGCTGCAAACAGGTCGTTCCTTAATTTCACGTTGGAACAGCTATTTTGAAGCAAGTCATTTAAAAAATTATACTAATAAAAAAGTTTGAGTGGGAACGA